TAGATGAATGGATGGGTGAATGGATGGATGGACAGATGATGGATGGGTGGATGAATGGATGGATGGACAGATGATGGACAGTGGGTGGATGGGTGTGTGGATGAATGGATGATGGATGGGTGGATGGATAATGGGTGGATGATGCATGTTTGAAGAATGATGGATGGATGCTCATGGATGATGGGTGGATTGATGAGGAGGGATGGAGGGATAGAGATGAAGGTGGGACCTCCTCCAGTCCTCACCCATATGAACTCAAGAAGTTGGATGACTTGCCAAGGGCTGCTCAGCCAGCACACAGGCAGCACTGGCTCTCACACCAGCCCCGCCCCCTCCAGCACAGGGAGGGAGGCTTTCCCACGGGGCCACGGAGGCAGCTTGTGTGTCCTGGCTAGAAGCCACCTCCTTCCTCCAGCCGCCCCAGCTACAGCTGACACAAAGCCTTGTCTCCAGGTTTCTGGCTGGTTTTCCAGCTCCCACAGACTCAGAATCTCATGCTGGATCCATTCCCACCCAGTGCAGAGGTGGCAGGAGTTTTGGCAATATAAAGAATCTGAGCTCCACTAACTCGTTCATCCATTAATCTGCCTATCTGTCCATTTTCCATCTACCCATTCACCTTCTATCCATCCATCCACCCACCCATTCATCCCCCAGTCATCCATCTATCCACCCATCCATCCACCTATCCATCATTCATTCATCCATTTGTCCACCTACCATCCATCTATCATCCATCCATCTACCCACCCATCCATTCATTAATCACCAGTTCATCCACTCATCTATCCATCCACTATCTACCCATTAACCAGCCAGCCACCACCTATCCACTTTCCACCCACCCACCCATTCATCTATCCACCCATCCACCTATCCATTCATCTACCTATCCACCCACCCATCATCCATCATCAATCCATTCACCCATCTATCTGTCTGTTCATCCATCTGAGCATCTATCATCCACCATCCATCCACCACCCATCCACCACCCATTCATCTATCCACCCATCTATCATCCACCATCTATCCATCTGCCCATCCATCCACCTACCTATCATCCATCAGCAGTTCATTCATCCATCTATCTGTTCATCCATCTGTCCATCCATCCACCATCCATCCATCCATCCACCCATCTACTCATTCATCCATCCATCTGTTCACCAATCTGTCTATCCACTCGCCCATCCACCCACCCATCTGTCCATCCACCACCCATACAGCATCCACTATCCATCCACCATCCATCCACCCATCCATCCATCCATCCATCCATCCATCCATCCATCTACCTACCTGTCATCCACCATTCATCCACCTGCCCATCCATCCACCCACCTAGCATCCATCACCCCCTGTCCATTCTCAGCTGAAGGCTGTTCAGCTCTTCTAGTTCACTAGGACTTGGGGGAGCGAAGGGGTTGATGGCTCCACAAAGGCCTTTGGCCAGGAAAGATGGTAGGTGGGGGTAGTATCCTAGGCGGCCACTTGGGAGGTGGGTCCCACAGTGTGATGCCTCACATTGGCTCCTCTTCCTGCTGTGTCTCTGGCCTGAGTCCTAAATGTGCATCAGGCAGACCCTGTGGAGACAGAGCCATGTCTGAGATCCTGCCAAACCAGGGAACAGGGCCCATCGACCTCCTGCTCATTCCCTCCCCCCTCCCTCCCTTCCTCCCTCCCTCCTCCTCCCTCCCTCATTCACTTATCCATGCACTCATTGTGCCAGAGTTGCAGCTTCCTCCTGGGCTGGGCGGGGGTCTCGTGGATCTCGTCCTCTTGGCCTCCGTGTGGTTGGGGCTGAGTCAGCCTCGCAGCAGCTGAGGAGGCAGAAGAGCGGACTAGGAGCGAGGTGAGGTGCGGACGGTGGGAGCAGGCAGATGTGGGTGACATCCTGGCTCCCGTGCAGTCGATGCGAGAGTGGACAAGTCTGCAGGGCAGGGCCCGGGCTCCACACGGACCTGCTCCCGGGGGCCCGGGCCTCCATCTGAGTCAGCACAAGCTGTTCCTGCCCCTTGGCACCGCAAGGCTGCCCAGGGCATCCCTGAGCCTTGGAAATGGCCAGGAAAACCAGCATGGCGTGGCACGGTGCGGCGCGGCAGAGGCTTGGTGGTAAGGACACAAACATCTTGGCCTCCAGGAGTGACCGAGGCTCAGCCATGCAGGGGCTAAGCATGTGTGGGCCACAGCCTTGCCCTGGCCACCCCAGCCACTTCCATGGGAGAAAAATGCCGCTGCTGCCTGACAGCTGGTTATGAAATGAGCATGCGTGAGGGCCTACAGCCTGCAACCCCTACAGCCTGCAACCCTACAGCCTGCAACCCCTCTACAGCTTGCAACCCCTCTACAGCCTGCAACCCCTCTACAGCCTGTAACCCCTACAGCCTGCAACCCTACAGCCTGCAACTCCTACAGCCTGCAACCCCTACAGCCTGCAACCCCTACAGCCTACAACCCCTACAGCCTGCAACCCTACAGCCTGCAACTCCTACAGCCTGCAACCCCACAGCCTGCAACCCCACAGCCTGCAACCCCTCTACAGCCTGCAACCCCTACAGCCTGCAACCCTACAGCCTGCAACCCCTCTACAGCTTGCAACCCCTCTACAGCCTGCAACCCCTCTACAGCCTATAACCCCTACAGCCTGCAACCCCTACAGCCTGCAATTCCTACAGCCTGCAACCCCACAGCCTGCAACCCCACAGCCTGCAACCCCTCTACAGTCTGCAACCCCTACAGCCTGCAACCCTACAGTCTGCAACCCTACTGTCTGCAACCCCTACAGCCTGCAACTCCTACAGCCTGCAACCCCACAGCCTGCAACCCCACAGCCTGCAACTCTTCTACAGTCTGCAACCCCTACAGCCTGAAACCCTACAGCCTGAAACCCTACAGCCTGCAACCCCTACAGCCTGCAACCCCTACAGTCTGCAACCAATACAGCCTACAACCCCTCTACAGCCTGCACCCCTACAGCCTG